CGTTATCATCGGTTTTCTGAATTGTCTCTCGCTATTGAAGAAAATTTAAAGACGTATTTACATCAAAAACGATAAACCTACAGAATCTGCAATATTTTATCTTTAGTTTATATTATGTACCTAACTAGTAGGTTCACTACTACTACGTGCATTGTAATCCTATACCTTTAAACGAGCAATTCTTGTATATATATATATATAATCGGAATCTCGGAAACGGCTCCAACGATTTTCATAAAATTTTGTGTGCAGGGAGTTTCGGGGGCAATAAATCGATATAGCTAGGATTTATTTTTAGAAAATGTCTTTTTGTCCGTGTTTTTATCTATTGTCGCTACGATCAAAAAATATTATTCGTATTTCATCAGTATGTAATTTGTATCTAAATATAATTTCCAAAACACACTAATTAAAAAAAACCGAGAGAAAAATACCGAGCAAAGCTCGGTCAACCGGGTACTGTTATGAGCAAGTTAAAAAAAGTAAAAAGTTTCAGTCTATATACGTGCCACAGCGAGGCAAAGACCCCTCATACGAGTATCTGAGATGCTTATTAAGAGATTACCTGACCGCGCTGTTGCAGTGTGTTATGCTTTTAAAATCTTTATTAAAGGCTTCTTTGAAAAATAGGTACACTGCAGTGTAAACAAAGTCGACTTTCTGTAATCTTTAACGTTAGAAAACACTAAAAATAATAAAATCTATGATAAATCATGTGATCTAATGTACTGTGATAATAATGAGATGTCATTCAGATTCATTTTTATAGTTTTATTTATTTATTCTTAATTGGTAACACCTTACAACGAATGTAACAATGGACGGACCATAGAATACTATTTTAATACACAATAGAATAGCTGTGAACCTTATTTTGTACGACGATCGGTGTCGCCGGGAGCACACATACAAGCAATTACGTCGTATTATTACTTCTACAAACCCGATTCGCTGTATTGACAGACTGAATATTTTTGACACATCGATATTTCTTTTTTATTTTTGTTTGTAATGTTTACAAAATATAAATAGTTTCGACTTACTGGTTGTAGGATATGTCTCCTTTATTGAAATTCCATTTCCTGCTGTTCTTTCAATACGTAATTATTGCACACTTTGCCATTTGTTAAATAATTTGCATACAGCGACGCTTGACACGAAAATTGGAAACGTTTGTGTTGACATTTATAGGTGTGAATTTACATTTTAGTGGCTACACGTGCTCCGCCTACGCCCCCGTTCTATTATGTATGTATTATAGTATTCTATGGGGCGGACTTAACACCTGTCGGCATTCTCCGCGAGTCAATCCGTAGCGTGTTGAGCTATTGTGACAGGTGTAAACTTGCGTTATGATCTTTAAAAGAAATTATATTAGCGCTAACTATTAAAGAAAGTTAAGTTATATACATACCATATACTCGTTTTCTAAGCACATGTGGTGTACTTTTGGAACTGCAGGGACGTGCAGGTAGATGCAAAAACCATGTACGATAGACCACAGATATATTAGTTTATGCTAAATCTAAGACAAAAACAGGTGAGGATGGTATGTACCCAGATGTACATCTACGCATAAAAGGAAACTTCAAGTATGTTTCGCCTCAAATCACCGGTTTTTTCTTGCTGACGAGATTTTTTTTTAAATTTGGCTTTCGACATTAACTCACGGGACGCTACGCTTTCATAATAGTAGTAAACTTATATTGCTAATTTCGGCTAAGCAGAAGGTGACTTATGGTTTGCACTTATATGTATTGCTCTAGCTATTCTGATTATCTATATTTTACATACGTATCATTCAATGTATACCTATGTTCCAAGTTCGTTACAGAACTATAAGTCATTTGATTATAAACCGGTGAATTAGGTTATTATTTGCAATTAGTGTTTAATCAGATTATTTTGATATATTTCTGTTGTCTGCTTAAGAAATCAATATATAATACTCCAATCTATAAGAACTACAACCAATAAAATCACTCACTTATTAGTTATAAAGGAAAATATCAAATGCGGTACATTGATTGTTTAAATAATTTATTGTTTAGTAATGTTTTATTAGGTATTATGCAATATAAGTAGGTACACATATTTAGAGCTATTCATCTGTATCACCATACAAGTGGTTCTATTTACTTAATATTACTATAACATATGTATTTGTCTCGCAAAAGTAAAATTCTATAAGGATTTCTTTCTTCTTGGTTTTGAAATAAAATAAACAAATCACATATTCAGTTGTTTATTATCTATACTGTACTCAAAATTGATCCGAAGATCACATCACATAGTAATTTCATAAATAATATTACAATGTCATGTACTTTCTGTGATTGCTCATGAATAAAAAAATGTTCACAATATTATCAATACTTTGTTCACTGGACCGGTTCACCTTTAGTAGATTGTACCTACTACATTATACGATACATTACTTAGGTACTCAAAGAACTTACAGTGTACTTGATGAGAGATATAATAACCAATTATTGTGTTGCAGTTCAATTTTTTTTTTGTTTATATATTTACAGTTTTACATTTTTTTTTGTGATTTACAAATAAATTCTTGAATATTTAATTAGGTCATCATTATTCCATTTGGATTTATAATAACAGTACTTTATAGTTAAAAATATCACAAAAATGAAATATACTATGTGTAAGACACACGCAACATTAAAAATACAACAAAAAGAAAAATATAAAATCCACTAGAAACCTTGGGCCTGAAGAGTCCCTTCTAAACAGGAAGGATACTTTCGATGTTTCAATATTTCATAACGGCAATTTAATACCATAATTATAATTATCACACTAATTAATTATAAAAGTAATCGATTGTCTTACAATAAATGCGTCAGATCATAAAATTTTGATTAAAAAATTAAAGACAACAAATAATTCAGGAAACGATAAATTTCAACAAAAATAAAATGACAAGTTATTTATTTAGGACTCAAGTGCCGTATTGATAAAAGCGAACTGTTCCCCGGGCTCCGCACGCAGCTCGGCCCGACAACAACCAACACAAACCAACCGACCGCTTCCTAACGAGTTTCACTCCGCCCTTCCGCTATTCTTCTTTTATCGATATGGCATTCCACTTATAATACGACAATAAATATAACACGCTTACACATTAATCACTTCTTTAATTCCGACGCTAGGAATTATTTCATAATATATACCTAAAAATATAATCACGGCACAAGTATCCCTCCGACTAAATTACTAACGTAGTGTCACTTTATCAGGATTTAGAATCAAATATGTATTATGTATCTTAAATATTTCGTTATTAATATATCATTATCAAAATATCCACTAAATGGGAGGAATAAATCAAATTATTAATATTTTATTCTAACATTAATCGCATGACTGATCAACAAAAAGGATATGGACTAGGAATTCTATTAGGCATCGGGCTTCCATGCCTCGAGGCGCCCGCGTCTCGTAGCGTCCGGACGACACAGGGACGAAACGGGGACGACGCGGGCGCCTGCCTCTCTCTATCCGCATATCACCTCTACATACATACGACGAGTTAAATTTGATCAAAAGGTTAATACTGTTTATGTCAAAAACAATATACGTAGCTGTTACATGCTCCGAGCCCATCGAGAGGTAAGTCGGGCTCGGTCGTCGGTCTCTATTTTGTGCTTCCATAGACGGGAATTGATCAGAAAAGAATGAGAATCTAGCAAAATCTATGTGGAATAAAAGCCGACCTTGTTTCTATTCTATTAAGAAGGTTAAATAGCTTGGAAGTATGCTTTCATCTTTTTAATATTGTCCAATAACTTTCATTGCATTTAGAATGTCTGCCCACTATCACTCTACGAGTGTCGTAATCTATTCTAATGTGAGAAATGGACGACGCGACGCAACGCGGCGCAACGACCGTGCCAGCGGTTTCGCGCGGCCGTTTGTTCGCGTTCTGTCACATTCTCTTTTGGCTAATGCTTCTGTAGCACAGATTTACAACATCCTTCCAACAGACACATACCAAAAATTTAGTAATAGAAAAAGTATCCCTACATAATGTTTTTATCGTAACTTCTTTCCGCCTTTAGTGTAACCTGGCTAATGGTGCATCCATCCAAAAGACAATATAAGATGAATCGCGATCAATTCCACACGACACGTATTGACTGCAAGGCGCCGCTCGACGAAACGTGCATTGTGCTCCGGCGCCAAAAGTTTTAGTGCCGAAGGAGAAAAGCGGCTACTCTATTGGTGTTTCATTACTGATTCACTTAATCTAACCTAGTGTAAAACTTGTCATCTATAAACATAAACCCATAACGTACATAAAAAGAAACATAACTCTCACAAAAATGCTCACATTAGGAGTGGGTTGATGCAACTTTTGACACGAGCGGCCGACACCACTCGCTAGAGTATATCGCCTATATATAACAAATTTTAGCGCGGGCCAAATGGCGTACGCACCGATCTTTACAGGAACTTATATCGTTTCTTAAAAAAAATAATATACAATAGTAATAAAACATTTAAAACCTCACTAACTACTATTCGACGATCTCGATAAAATTATTCAAACGGCTCCGGATCTCGAAATCTATTCATATCACAATCGCATGACCGTGCCTGAGAATCATATCCCGCTACTTATGTACACACTCTTTCCCGAGAACTTGCTCGCATTCCCGGCGGGAATAAGCCGCGAGCAATGGCGACGCAGCTCGTTCCCGCCGCTCTAAACTAACCAACACTAAGCTATAACCTATCACCACCTCCTTGAGGGAGCGGCATTGCCATCCGGCTGAAGTTGCCTTTCCCGAGTGTGTCAGAGGCGCGATCGATATGGATTACGCGGGGCGCGGGCGACCTTTGGAGCGGGGCTGGAGAGAGGGTCGGGGGGACGGGCCGCGACGAGGTATGGAGGATGCGCAGTTAAAGGGGGTGGAGGGTGCCAGTGAGGGGTGAGGGGTGAGGGGTAAGGGTGCGGTGAACGGGACTCAGAGATTAGGTTAAGGAGGGCGTAGAGCTGGCGGCAGTTGTACGGGGATGTGGTAGTAGCGACAGGCGGCTCGGCGGCAAGTGCCTGCGGCGGCGTCGCGGCACACCACTACGCGGCACCCCACCACCTGCAGCCCGCACCCTGCCAACCAACACACGGCTCACTTACACACATGCAATCTTGTATAAGCCAATTTTTATAACGAGACATCCCCGATATTAAAGCACATTTTTTATTTGTTTAAAAGACAGTTGTCATGTTACAACAATTTATATAGACATTTTTGGTGATTCAAAAGTTACAAAAGGACATAGTTTTCGTACACATCAAAATTAGTATTACAGCCGATTAAAAGCCCACAGCTGAACATACGCCTCCCCCATAGAGTGCGTCATTTTGTCATAGTTGGGTCGCCTGGTAAGCGGGTTGGTAAGCTCATTTTTTTCTATTTTGAGTTGTTATCAGACAGATTCTACTGCCCATATCTTGTTATACTTATTTCCCTCTATTGCCTTTTACGATGCCAAAGGACTATTTTCAGTTGTGGATATTACTACACTAACACTACAATTTGAAGATAATTTAATTACTGATGATGGCAGAGTGAGTGTAATTCGTTCAATGCCGAGCTACAAAAATGTATACCGATTTAAATTATTTGATCTATTGCATTGGATCTATTTTAATTTATTTGAGAGCAGTGTAACCGTACTCTATTAATAAATAAAAACTTCAAAAATATTTTGTAATAGACAAAAAAAGTTTAACTGTGATTGATAACATTCTTATTTTTCAGTCATGAGCCATGGTGCGAATAAGGCTTAGCCTCCAATAGCGCTAATGAAATTGTTATTTGTTAATTTAAGTTTTAAGTGCTGATTTACCATGTGTCCGGCGGTGTAGGAAATCGGAAATTATCGTGAAGAATTCAGCACATGTGAGGTATAAAAAATTATTTCGAAGACCTGTGCGCTGTAGTGGGGCCTATGTAGGCTATAACTCTTTACTTTTTGAATGGGTTGAAAACGTATGAAGAAGCGATTTCTGTTAATTATTCTAAATTATTTTTGTTGCGATTGTGTAAAAATAATTTATTGTTGATTTTTTAAAAACACTCGACCGATTTCGCTAAAAATCAAATGGGACCACCTAAAAACATACCTTTTGAAACAAAATAAAATCCAAAGACGCCTAGTCTTCGAGTAATCAGTGAACGTACAAAAAAAGATTCCGACAAATTAAGAACCTCCTCCTTTTTGGAGTCGGTAAAAAAACAGAAGTCGGGCAGCAGCACCTTCCTTATAACCACTAAAAGTAATAAAACAACTGCGGTCGCCAATCCGCCTACCAAGCTTCGTAACTATGACAAACATCCCAATTATGAGGCAGCTATGGGGGAGGCCTATGTTCTGTTGTGGACTTTTAGTAGGCAGTAATGAAAAAAATATCTATCAGTACAATTTCATGTGGTAGGTATCTAGTCCTTTTGGCAACTGAGAATAGGTTATTGCATATGATATGCTTTTGAAGCAAAAGCATGTTAAATGAAGAAATTGGTGATGAATTATATGTAATAACTAATAAACTTAATAATTCTCGACTATCGTGGTGACTCCTGATATGTATAATATGTGACCCATCACTGTCCCAGTGTAGTTTAACGTGAATTGATACAGATAAGTGTGTAAATTTTAATTAAGGTAGTTTTTTATATTTTTGACAACACTATATATTTCAATATATTTGAAATAACAAATGCCTCGTTATAATAATTGACTTATATAGAATAGATAAATATCTATATACACGGTAATAACACGATAAAGAACAATACATTACATATATTTCTAAAGTCTACTTTTAATCTAAATCTATGGTTTAGGAGAAATCATTATTTTAAACTAAAAATAGAAAACAATGATAAAGAATAGTCTTACTTTTGCTAATATTATGATCTACAAAAATGTATATAATCACTAAGAAAAATTACTTCTACATAAGTATAAAACGTGTAATCATGCATAAATAAGAGAGGACAGGGGGATAATTTTCGTAACCGAGTGATATTGCATTATATTACTTTTGATTTTATCAACAACGTTTTTACATGCGTATCTTTTCGAGTCTGATTATGTATATTAGATAGAATAGTAGACATAATACCTTCACGAATATGAACGAATCTGCAGGTAGGTCTGGTACATCCTTGTCGATTAAAATCTTGGCACACCGGGAGGGTGTCCAGTAACTGAAAAATATAAGAAGAAAATGAGTTTTCATTGTTCAAAAAGCTATTACTTCATACAGCCATACAGTTACCACCATAACAATTTAAATATATCCCCTGTTTATAACCTTCATAAGTTTGCCTTCAATTATAGTCAGTAGGTTAAAAATTAATGTCATAACATAGTGTCGTTTCAAATATTGAATCATTTTCTGTAATTCATTCAGATTTATTTTAACCGCAGAAATGTTTGGTTTTGCTTTGACAATCAACTTGCTCAGTTACAAATATTGCATCATTACTATTGTAGTATTGTACGTTTTTGTTATGGTATCACTGCATGACTGTCGAAATAATTTAAATCTATTTCATAAACAGTCGAGTCATTGTTTAATGAATAATCAAACTACTAATATTTAAATTAACAAAATGTGTCCTGTATGTGGATTCTGACGGTTTATGAATTGTTTAATGTTAATAGTGTTAATGCTAACTCTATGTCATCACTTTATGGACATTCATACGTCTGACACTCAAAAGTATCTTCATTGCACAGCCTTCTGAAAAAATTGCCGAGATAGTTTTTGTAATATCAAAGAGCTTAGATTAAATTAAGTGCCGCACGTATCATATTACTATTATAAATCTTATCTATTACTAGTTCGGGTATTTCAATTTTATATCCAAGAATTAGCAAATGCGTGTGTAGTTTCTCAATCGCTAAAAACTGTTACAAAACAAAACAAGAAACACGGAAGGCGAAACTGCTCGAAATCAAATCTTGTTGCTGCTTCAATATTACAAGAACTTTACAAGATTCGTTGCACAATATGATTGTACCTTCCAAGCATTCTTTCAATATCGTGTGCGCTGATAAAGGCGTGTCACTTTTATATTGTAACATCTGTCGGTGTTAAAACAACTATACACACCATTCACACATTGCGAGCCCGGGGTTGTCCATTTGTTGTTATATCTTTAACGAGTTCCGTAACCGTAAGAGAGTGTTGTTAAAATACGCTGTACTATGCACATAGTGGGAATGAATATATATATAATCTAAATGGCATGCAGAACGCTTGAAATATAATCATTATTGCGCAGCCAATCTTATTTAAGCGTGACTATATTTTACAAAAAAGCTTAAAGCATGATGCTAGACAACTTTTACCAGGGCGAGGGCGGTCTAGAGGTCTGTAGCGTCCAAAGTGTACCCATAAATACCAACTGTTGCTATATAAAGCTAAGAGGCCGTGTGGGGAGATTAACGACAAGTGTCTGCGTCGGCTGTGATGATGCTAGTTCTTCGAACGTTCTCAGTAGAGGAACACAGGGCAGTCATGCTCGTCGGTAGGTAGGCATGGTTACAATGTAAAAAGACAAATTAAATTTATACCTTTAGCTTACATGACAGTTCTGGACGTGACATGTTAGTGGTAGTACAAACTGCAACATAATGACCATTAGAGAGTGCGGTTACTGTACGAAAAAAAACAAAAGAAAACCAAGTATATTAATTACGACTACAGTGAGTACTTTCAAGAAAGCATCAGAGGCCTCGACAAGTCGTAAGCAGGAACGGAAGCCGCATAGCGAAGCACTTAAGCATTGTCGCAAAGAAAAGTCGAAGTGGATAATTGGTCGAAATACAAAGAGCACACTGTGACTTCATTGAAGTGCCAATTATGTTGGTTTTGTTACAAAGACCATCACCTCGAGTTTTCTTACTTCACCACCGTTTCAACTACCAACTACGCATGTAAAAATATTGATTTAACCTTTGTGAATCAAAAATTAACAAAAAAGACCCCCTTGTAGGCAGTTGATAGTTGACACAAGCGGAAGGTGAATTTTTGATTCTGTTAAAAAGCTATTCCCTTACAAAAATGGTTAACGTTAAATAACTAATAGTAATATTTTTAAAACTTATTTACAATAATGTACAATGTTTTATTCAACTTTTTAACAGAATAATAACGGCTTCGTTAATTTTTTTAAATGACGTCTTTACTGAAACACGCCGGTTTTGGGCGTCAAAAATTAGTATGTGTGAAACTTTTATATTGAATGATTAAATTGAGCCATGCATTCAGTAAGCGGTGTTTCAGTATAGGCTTTTAACAACAGGAAATCACTTATACTGAGGATATTATAGTAAGCTGATTATATCTTACCGGGTGTAAGCAAGGCAATACTGTAGAGTGACTTCTTCCACATTTTTGAAAGCAAGTATGTCTCGCTATACAAAACTAAAATAGACAGTAAGTTGTAGCATCAACTGTTCGGTTTATTAAAATTTCATACAGTTACAATAGCACAATGATTGAAATGATTGATGTGAATGATGATGCTGGTAAACAATAGGAATTGCTTTAAGCAATGCTTTTAGTTCCGTATTTTCCGCCAAGTAAAATTCACAGCGTGTCCGAATAATGTGTCGTATTACGCAATATTTGCTAGTTGTTGAAAACGAAATTATGTGTAATAAATAAATAAACATTTGAACATACTTTTATAGTTTTTTATAACGAATTTTTGGGTTCGATATTTTTTCTTTTTTATATTCCGTATGGTACTTTTTTGCGAGACTGGCTGAATGGTTAGTTGATTTCACCAAGCATACCTGGTACCTAGTAAGCGTACCCTTAGTGCGGATTAAAAATTGGAAATATTTAAAGCTCACAAATAAGCGCAAAAATAAGCTAAGTCTTTTGAGGCGAACCAAACAATTCCATTAAAGCGTCAATAGCAGGCTCCATAATTATAACAGGTTTATTATGGTTTTATGAAAGAAGTGAAGCTTATGTAGTTTACTCCAGTATTCAAATGATATAAAGGCAAAATTCACTATGCATAGAAAACTTTGGTGTTGGTTCTTTTGCAAGAAATGAATACTGTTAAATAACATAATTAATTCAGTTTTAGTTATATATAGAGGTGAACGTATATAGGTGGATAAAGGTCAAATATAGCAGGTGGATATGCGGATAGCCTACTGGTAGCGGTCTCGAGCCCATGAACACTACGAGAAGGTCGCTTTCAACATATTATTTTATTTAGCGTTAATAAGCGTTGGGCGGAATCGGTCTGCGGAGTTGGAAGATAAGCGGTTGTAGTTTGTGGCACAAGCGTGCGGTTTGCGTTTGTGGCTTGCGGCACTGCGCGGTGCTTTCACGGCACACGTTACCTGTCCGCGATCGTCGGTGTACACCACATAGGGGGCGTTTGGCGGCGCACAGCCTTTCCGTTCCAATACAAAAAGCGACAAAAGATTTGCAATGCGGACGACAGCCGAAGCGGTCATTCGGAAGGCATGTAACAGAAAGCGTTAAAATAAATAAAAGATAGTGCGACCGAAAGAAAATGCGCGATCGACGCTCGTCGATTGCCGCGGCACTACTGATGAATAACTTCGGCACACAGAGCACAAACAGGGAGCCACTAGAATAATGAGAATAATACCTGATGAGCCAAACGTATAGGGGTGGTGGATTCTATTCCATGCGAAAATTAGAAGGCGGCGGTGTTAGGTGCTGGCCTGCTGCGGCAAGCCGGTAACCACTAGGTACTCGATCGACACAATGGCCAAAGCGCACCCGTGCGGAGCTCCTTCGAGAATAAGCGTGTACGTAGCGGGAAACGGGTTCGACGGACCAAGCGCTCAACTCTCAGTACGACGATACTCACGATTAACGACGATCGACAAGAGGTAATAAAAAAACGTACAGTCATGCAGTTCAAGCGTTATTATTACCGGGATCGTTGATACGAGAAATATACACGCATAAGATAATATAACGGTAAGTGAGTAGATAAATACACAATCGAATAGTTATAGCGTAAAACTACCGAGACATCCGCGAGTGTAGATTCGCTCGCTTCGTCCTTACAGTAATACAATACAAATGTGACAACACGCCTAGCGCTAACCGCCCCGACAGGCCGGGGCGGACACTCAGCCGCACACGTATGAGTCTCTAGGGGGAGACCCCGCGCCCTGCCCCCGCCCCCCCGCCCGCGGCGTGCCCGCGCCCGCTTATGTCGTCTTCATCTTTTTGTAGGGGTTCACTGCGGCGGCGGCGGCGGCAGCGGCTGCGGCGGCCGCCGGCGGCGTGGGCGGCGGCATCGCGTACATGTACGGCGACGGGTAGTAGCCGGGCATGGGCAACGGCGGCCAGCCTGGCCGCATCATCATGGGTGCGCGCATCAGCCCGGGTACGCTAGCGCGTGCCTTCAGTTGCTGGCTGTAGGCAGCGGCCGCGTGCGCCATGGCCGAGTGCTGCGCGGCGAGCGCCAGCGCCGCGGCGTAGTTCTTGTGCGCAACCTCCTTGGCCACGGCGGCGGCGTCTGGCGCGCTGGGCTCGGGCGGCGCGGGCGGGCTGGCGGGCTGCGGCGCGGGCGCGGGCGCAGGGGCAGGCGCCGGGGCGGGCGCCGGCGCGGCCCCGGCGCCGCCAGCGGACACGGACGCGGTCGGCGGGGCGGACGTCGCCGGCGCGGGGTACTCACATGACACGGGCACGAACGGCTGCTGCAGTTGCATCAGCTGCTGGTACGTGGTCGCCGGCTGGTACACCGGCATGCCGGCCTTGTCGGCGGCGGGCCGCTTGTATGGCACCACGCCGGGGAACGCCTGCAAACGAACACTTTCAGATTAGGCACATTGCTCGACCTGTTAGACCACATATAGAAAATAATGAATATTGTTAGACCCGAAAAGGATGTTTAAAAGTTGAATGATTTATACCTAATATATATAGGTAATGTAAGTTAAGTGTAAATTAATGTAAGTTGTGCGAACTTATTAAGCGTAGTTTACGACTGAGCATTTGTCCAAATGAGCGTCCAACACTGTTTTCAATTGATCGGCCCAACACGCGTGCTATACGCAGTTGCCGGCGAATCGCATTATGTAACCGTTCCTTTAACAGTAAATAACATTAGAAGCTAATTTAGTAAAACGGCCGCAAACTATGCGCCAAATAGGATCGCATCTTTTGTTTTGTATGTGCAGATACTTACGAAGTTATCGTAATAGAAGGATCCGACGCTTTTCATGTCCATCTGAAACGAGAAATAGACGGTTGAATGGACGTTCTTGGGCGAGTGGGTTAAAGAGCGCGAGCGAACGGCGGCGGGCAGCGCGCAGGCGGGGGCGGCCGTCGCCGCGCACCGCGTCCGCCCGGCGGGGAGGGGCGCGCGGGGGGAGCGTGCGGACGGGAGCGGGAGCGGGAGCGGAGGTGAAGCGTGCAAAGCTGGCGGTTATACCGGTGGCGGCTCGAGATCGGCGGGTGCCGGCCGCTTCTTGCCGGGCTCCGAGGTCGCGCTCGCCGCCGGCTGCTGGGCTGCGGCGGCCGTCTACGTGAAGCGAAGCGTCGCAGGACGGGACAGAAACAATAACGATGTAATAGATGCACAGAATACACCTAAAGCTCGGCGTAAGGTGATATTATGCGAAAGATAAAAAAAATTAAAAGTGAAGCGTGAGTGCGACGGAAGCGTGGCGCGTGTCGACGCCGCGGCGAACTAAACAGACCAAGCTCTGCGAACATAAGCGGCGTCGCGGCGAGCGAGAACCAAGCAGAAGAAGAAATGCGAGCGCGAGCGAGCGAGGCGAGAGCGTGCAGCCAGGTGGCGTACCGCGCCGCGCGCCTGCGCCTTAAGGTGCGCCTGCAGGTGCAGGGGAGGGTGGAAATAGCGGCAGGGGTCTCGGACGCAGCGGCCCTTGACGGCGTCCATGCACACCGTGACACAGCCGTCGTCGTGCGCCACCACGGGCGGCGGCGGGTGCGCGAAGCGACACTCGGCCTCGGCGCGCTTGCACGCGCCGCGCTGGAACTCCCGGCACACCTGCACCACCACACACCGCCTCACACCGTGCCTCGCCGCCCGGAGGACCGCTGCCAGCCCATCGCCCTCCCCTAACCGACTACTTCCCTTTTCGCTCTATATTCTTTTATATGTTATCACTCGCCTTTAGAACGCGCCTACTAGATACTGTACATTTGGCTTGACCCAAGTGAGACTAATTGATCTCGGTAAACGTGTGTTGAGTTTTTGAATCTCATTACGGAAGTATATTTTACAGTCAACGACAATAATCGACCTCAACCGGACGCCGCTTGAAATTGAATTTAAATTTTAAATATGTATTCAATTTATTTACGCATCCGTCGCATATTTATAGTTTTTTTGGAAATATTTTGACTAAGATCGTTTCATGTTTAGGATATCTGGTTATTGGATATTAAGCGTTTGACACCACAATGCAGGCACAAATCGACAACTTCAATTTCCTTTTTAATTAATTTTTTACTTTAAAATCGCTTTTTAGGGTTAATTTTACATAATATGTCGACTTCGACATAAGTTTTATAATTGAAATCTAATTTAATAGAGATAAAAGATGAGTGAATAGAATTTCTCGAGAATGTGCCAACAGTGTAAAATGTGCATATTTCACTGGGAGAATAAGCGAGTGCTGCTCGCGAAGCGCGCCGGAGACGGGTTGAGCCAGTGCGCCCACGCACCACAACACACGGGAACAGATTAAGGCTTCTTAGCCAAACTTCGTAAAGGAGACCGACAATATTTAATACATCAAAATAATAACGTTCTTGCAATCCTATAAAGACTACATAGACATTATGTTGTAACAGATATATGATAATTTAATGCGTTGGCAAACTTGTCGGTCCCCCACACACGTGGCAACATCAGAAAGCGCTACTCGGATAGGGGCGAGAATAGTGTAATATTAAACTGGAGCGGTTGTTACCTCAAGACGGTCGGTGCGCGGCAACTTTTGCTGCAGAACAGGCTGCTGCATGACGCCGAGCGGCGATGCGGCCGCGGCGGCCGGGTCATGACCGAGCATCGTCGGCACCAGTTGCGGTGCATAGTACTGTGCGTACGTCGACCCGACGCCCGGCACACCAGACAGGTATGGCGACGTTGCCTGCACAGCGTTGTCGAACCACGTAAGTACGCTTCGTCCAAACTCAAATAGTTAATATCTAATAACATTAGTTTATTCTTTCAAAAGCCTTTAATAATCAAAGGGCAAGCACAAATGTTAATAAAACAACACTACAAAAGCATTTTGTTATACCAGTGGCTTAAGATACAATACAGTGTTAGTATTTCGAAAATAAACTTTAGCCAATATAAGCTTTCGCATGCATTAATAGAGAATTTAAAATCATTAGAAAGGTTAATAAAGCATACAGCTCTGTCTCCGTCAAGCTACCCACCGGCCACCACAGAGATATTTGGATAAAGGATTGGATAATAGGGGTCCTAGGTGACTTGAAATCTTAATTTAGTGAATGTAACGTACAGAGTGGTACACGGGAAGGTGGCGCGAGGTAGCCGGCGGCGGTGCTAGGCGCTCGGCGGCAGTTACCTGCGGGGCGAGCAAGGCGAGACTGATGGGGTCCAGCGCGGTGAGGTGGCTCGCGGCCGCGCCCGCTCCGCTCACGCCGCCCACCTCGACACAAAACCACACAAACACGCTACTCATCGTGCGACGTTCGCCGGACGATCCACGCCCGAGTCCTTTCGCCCTCGTCGTCGCTCCACGCACTAGCCGCGAGGTTTTATCTTTTATTGCTTAATGTGCCTTTGTTTTTCAATCGAAGAGTTTTACGGGTGGTGCGAGTAGCGACACCGGGGTGAGTCGGGTCGCGACGTTAGCGAAAGTGAGGAGTACGTTGTATCAGTGATTTAAATTTGCTTGACCACTTATATACCCAGTTCATACAAATGTGAGTAATCATGCCACTTAAGGAACAAATTATAAAAACATGCTCAAGCAGTGAGGAGCGATCGGCCATCGATGGCGATGTTAAGTTGTGCCTGCTGTTTGATCAACTATTTTTATAAGTCACGTTTACTCGTACAGAAACAAGTAGTTTACCTAAACCTTATTTTATTTTGTACTGCCACCACTAGAAGCAAAACTTTAAATTGAAGCGGCAGAACTCCACGCAAGAGCAGTTGTACCACTTCGAAGAAAGTAAATTACCATTAACTCTCAACATGTACATGACTTAAGTTTCTAAGAAAAGTTCTCTATGTAATTGAGTTAATTTACTTACTAAAGTAAACATCGCCGAGTCATGTGACGACATAATTCCAAATGCACTAGAGCCAATACTTGAAAACATGGTAAGGCACAACTTAAACGCAATGCTTTTATATCTCTACGTGTTTTATTAAATAAAACGCTCAAAAGATACAAGATAGCGAGTACACCGAAAGCTGCGTGTTGCGTGCACAGAGTACGTAACTAGCTATTGAGGACCGATCGCTCGAAGCTGTTTAGTGTAGAAGGGCAAGGGAACGGTACTCACCACGGCAGGAACCTGGCCAGGAAGCACCTGGCCGGGTGTCAGGCCCATTTGCTGCATTAAAGCGTTCTTCAGTGCTAGGTGATTTCGACCGTTGATAAGCAGCTGATCCTTGAGATGCTGCGGCGGGTGGAAGTACTTGCAGGGCGGCTTTTCGCGGTTACACCGACCCTGGAAATGGAAGATAGCTCATTTTTAATAATTGCCGACTTATTCTATTATATATTATTCACGCAAGATTTATTTATGAATAAACTTCAATATTCATACGTTGTTTAAACGCAATTATTTAATCAATATGATCTGTTATTCTGTGAATAAACGTAATAGAGACTACCGATTTGGTTCCATATTATCAATGTGTGAAGATCCTGCATCACATTTGCAATGGATTACTATTACATAAGTTAATTATACTAATATAGACAAATCGAACAAGTTTTTCCTCATAACCGCATTTTAGGCGACGCTATGTCAAAATAATGTGGTGTTCAAGCACAGCGCAGGCTCGACTACGCTCGTTCATTTTTGTCGTCAATGAGGCGAGAGATAATTGCCTCTGAATCGAAGGCCTGCGCCGCACCCGTCTATGATGATTTATTTACATCCGCGTAATTAACTGTCGTACTACGTGATGGGAAGGGCTTCGCGAACTTTTTATCGTCGCACGCCGGAGACTCCACGCTATATTTTATTCAGTGAAGAAAAAAGCGCTTATCGCAGTTTGTAAGAAAATACTTATTTACACAAACAAAATTCTAGCTGAATACTCGGCGCTCCAGCTTGGGACTCGTCTGCTGGTAATGTGGAGTGATTTATTGTATACATCTAGTACCAACGGGATTTGGTGTTAATATTTAGAGTTAAGTAAAATATTGAAAAGAAAATAAGACCTGAGTTTTAATGATATGTGCTCGTTTGTTACCCATATATATATATATATATATATATATATATATATATATATATTATACCTACCTGATGGTTAGTGGATGCTGTGACTCATAGACATCCACATTTATCATCAATTAAGTATCAAAACGCAAATGCGTTGTCAACCCCTGAGGACTAAGATGGAATTCCTTGATTCTAGTTAAAAGGGTCTCCAGTTCTCTACACTCACTATACAAAACACAGCAGCGTTACGCTGCTATTTTACGCCGATATTCTGTGAAAGCGTGGTCCTGCCCTGGTCGAGCCGACCCATTCATGCCATAATTACAATATAGCTGCAGCGTGGCTCTAACGCGAATAAATGTATATAGTAAGTGATAATGATAATAAATGGCTATGCAAGTTTAGATGCATATTATTAGTTACAAAATAATATTAGTTGGCATGTCAAAGCTGCATTTTAGGATTAAATATTAATTTGGATTCAAATTTAATCTGAAGTCCATAAAAATAAAGCTTACATTTATTATGGTTTTCACTACTGTTAGAAAAGTAATTGAAAAATAATTGTTCGTTAATATAAAGGCATAACTGATTCTTCTGCGACCGTTTAAAAGCGTTATTAATTTTCTCAACGTTCATTTCACGCGTGACGGACTTTCAATCATTTTGATGTGAAGACATATTATACGAATGACAGAATAAAATGTTTCAATAAAACATAAGTAAACAGTGAATTGTAGATGTACAACATCTGGAATCATATGCAGCCCGCTCCAAATTTTCCCTGTTATTAAACTTTGCCGATGCGTGCTACAAATAGCGAATGGAAGCAGTCGGCTACATTTAGATTAACTTGTTACTGGCAGGCATAATGTTAGTTGGACGGTCCTCTCTCAGTTAAGCTCGGGATAAAGTTATTATTTCCTGTTACTCCGCGACGTCTACTTCAACCGAGTTTCGATCCCTAGTTCTGTTTCTGAAACTTGAATGGCTGATCACGTTCGAATCATAAATATGATAACTCGGTTCGGTCTATCAAACTAATATTAGTCGGCGCTGGCGTTCGTCAATTAATAAGTTTGCGGTCAACTAAGGTCAATCCAGAGCACAGTCATAATTCGTGATTTCTAGTTTCGTCACCAAAAGATATGCTATTAATTACGTTACTAGCGGTGGGTCAGTTCGTCCCACGACCGACACCTACTCGTGCATTATGTATATTTTCCACGTATTGCTCACCATGTTTCTTATGTCACGGTTCTTTATAAATAAATAAAAGGGTACAGAAACGATTACTGGACGTTCCAATGAGTTGCGGCATTTGATACAAGAGTCTTCAATGACCATATGGAGTAGATATTATCATATACCTTAAAAAAATTAAAGTTACAGCCTATATACGTCCCACTGCTGGTCACAGGTCTCCCCTTATTTATGAGAGGGTTTTAGGGCAAGGAAGTGTCCGCCGCGCTGCTTCAATGCGTGTTGGCGAACTTCACATGTCTTCGGAATATTTTTTTTCCTTATTCCTCAGACATGCAGGTTTCCTTACGATGTTTTCCTTCACCGCCAAGCACGTGGTAAATCAACACTTAAAATTGCAATTAACAATTTCATTGGTGCCAGCGGGAATCGAACCCGAGTTAGTCGCATTATATTCACAGCGAGCGTTACCCATCTGAGCTACCACGGCTCATATACCTTACCATTATTATAATACTGTTTAGTTTAATACATCAATAAATGTATACGATACGATACAAGGCATATAATTAGTTTAAAAAAAATGTACTTTAATTAATGTCAGTAAAATTTGCACATTATTAATATGTATGAACTGGACAATTTATTTAGCGACCGACTGCCGCATCAGTGTCGCTAGAGCAGTAACAGCCGTGGAGATTTAAAAGGCACGTCCGTTTCTGACGACGGGTTCATTATTAAAAGCACGAAACACGTAACATAACACTTTGTCCCGGTAACGGATACCGGGCGTGTGCAGGTAAACAGCGATTAGCGTGACGGATGCCCGCGCGGATACAAATGGCCGCGTCGCTTCAGACGGATGGCCGGCCGGACCGCCCTCGCCGCCCGCCCTCCGCGCGCGTTATCGCATTAATTACTATCCGATCACTACTGTCTGTTCCCGTGTTTGCCAAATGTATGTGCATCTGTTTCTGTTCACCCTTAATCTACCTTTCTAGCATCGCGATTGGATTGGCTAATATACAGAGATTCGTAATAAGTTTAATTTTAATAGCATAGAAGCATTTTATATGCAGTGATTGTTTGGCAATTCACACAATCATAGCAATTCGAAAATTAATTTGAAGTCACACGAAGATTTTTTTGCGGGAACAAATTTAAATTTACATTAATAGCTCTAGAATCGACCATGATGTAGAACGATATATCGGAGAACACTTTTTCAACTACAAAGTTAAGATTGTTTTTCATTTCAACTTGCTCGGTGCTTATGTCATGTATATGTACTTAGTGGGATTAAGTTTGTACGGATCCATCAGAGTGCGAATCCCACTCGCACTTGTCACAATTTTTACATTGTTTAAACCAGTCGTAGCAATTCTAATTATTTACATAGTTATCTTCTATGTAAATAATTTTGGCGTTCAAACATGATAGCATCACAGTATATAAATTATTAGTACCCGGATGACCGAGCTTTGCTCGATTTTTTTTTTGAAATTACATTTATAAATTACATACTGATGAAACATAAATAATATTTTTTGATCTTATTGACTGAATAGAAAAAACCGAACTGGTTATTTGAATAAAAAATCATGAGTGCAATTAGTTTTATAAAAATTTTCGTATTTTTAAAAAATACTAAAAAAGGGCTTGAAATAATAGATTTTCTCACAAAAGAAGGTAACTTGAAAAAAAAGTAAAAAAGCAGGACCAGAGACAGGACGCGAACCACGGAACTCCGATATCACGCCCGACCGATATCCCACCTGAGCTATTACGATCGTTAGTGATCTGTCAAAATTTACCTTCATATATTGTAGCAGTTTTTTATTGCCTAAAAACACGGACAAAAGGACATTTTTAAAAATAAATCCTAGCTAGATCGATTTATTGCCCCCGAAACTCCCTGGACACTAAATTTTATGAAAATCGTTGGAGCCGTTTCCGAGATTCCGATTATATATATACAAGAATTGCTTGTTTAAAGGTATAGGATACTGTGATAGCACGTTTGTTAAAATAAACATTTTTGATATTTATGTTAAGGCAATATACATGATGTAAGATACAATTTTGTTATTATATTGACTCAAACAATTGAGGGAGAACTAAGCAAATAATCGGGGAGTACAGAGGGTTGAGTTGTTGCGGGTGGGCGATAACCGGCCAAAACTAATAACATTTTTGTGATAGTGTGTAGCAAGCCAACCGCGCTTCCCTCACCGTGTTCTTTATGACACAACAGTCCTCATTTGCTACAAGAAACGAAGTTTGGTGAGAGTCAGTACCTCGCTATCGCCTATTTAATTTAAAGGGAGCGATTAAGAATACACAAGTAGAAGTGATAGCAGTCTGTGAAAGGGACATCAGTGAATGCTGGCACAAAATGACAGCAGTGAACTTCTCGTTGATTAAAGTAAGGTAGAGAGTGCACTCGGCAACTGTAACGCGTATAACGAACCGCTCTCGAGTGCAGTGGCTTCCGCCGGCAGAACGCACCTTCATTACTGCAAGCTGCCACAGCGTTTTGACAGACGACAACCTACCCAATATCTAATTTTAGGTACTGACAAAATGCACACATAAAAGGCTTTTATAGCGTTAACATTTGAAATGTGTATGAATAAATAATCCGTTTGTCCTTAGTTATCCATAGAAACATAATTGTTATCAACCATATGCAATGATATTTCCATGCAATACTGTATATTGGAAGCGTGTAAATCAAATAGGAAATCAAGAATACGTGCCGAGCGTGGAATGCCGGTCGCAAGTCGATCTATCGATCACATCTGATGTATTGGCGACAGGCCGCCGACAAAGCGTGGTCACTCGAACACGCATGCTATGCCGTACTCAACAATTTTACTATTGGCCGACCCCGCACGCGCTACGACTAATCGACACACGGGGAAAACAATGAGAGAATCATTCGATGAATGACACGCTCATGCCGCACTTCGAAGCCACTTGTACACACGAAAGTATGTGCCAAAATTATTCATGATGTCAAACAGAGGCAGAAATAGAAACAACCAGTGAGACGTGCCAACTCTTCTACC